TCAATCTCCAGTATGGAAGGAAGGAAGGAAGGAAGGAAGGAAGGAAGGAGAACCAAGGCAGAGAACATGGGCTGTCATCATGTCACAGCAGGTGCCACACCTGGGCTGCTGGAGAGCAGCCCCCAGGGGTTCAGCTAGAAGCAGGTGCAGCGTGCTGCATGTCTACAGTGGGGGCTGAGAAGTGCCGGGCCCCTCATTCCTCTGTCACGAGTGCCTCTGGCCCTGCCACTCTGGCCTGCTGCATCAGCACATTCTCGCGGCCCACTGCAGGGAAACTGCAGGCACGCTGTGTCCCCACGTTCCCACGGACAGAACACAGAGCAATGGGAAGACGCCTCCCAAGAAGCAGTGGGAGGCTTTTTTGCCCTTTTTTTTTATTTGAAAAAAAAAAAAAAAAAGAAGAAATCTTCCAAACATGCCAACTTCCAGGCATCTGTGGCAGCAGAGGCTCATGAGCCTGGTAGAGGGGTGACAACCTGGCTTCTGGCCTGTCCCCATGAGCTCAAGAACACGAGGCTAGGTCAGCACCAGCACCTTGAGACTCTAGGCAGCTCTTGAGAGCCACGTGGGAAGGGGTCCGAAACAATTCTGACAGCTTGCTGGGTGCCTCCTGCTGAGGAGGCAGCCCCCAGTGTACATCCAGACACACAGGAATCCAAGAAAAATGTGAGCAGGGTTCATGTGCCTGAATTCAGACGCTCTGTCAGGTCTGTATCAAATTCCCAGCTGTCTACACATTTTAATCTGAAGATCATTCCTTATTACTCTTCCAAGCAACTCACTTAAGAGAAATCACACACAAATTCACCTTCATGCAAATTCTGATAAATCTCAAGATTTACAAATGTGCTCTCCTTATTCTAGGAGCCCAACAGAGTGCCCTGAATGCCCAGGCAGTCACAGATGCTGGCATGCCTGCAACATGCCCCGCTGGCTGGGCAGGGCATGGAGGTAAGTATGAAGACCATGGGTTTGCCGGTGCTTGAAGGGTTTATTTGAGTGGTGAATTGTTAGTATCTGTACTTCCTGTTTATTCTATTGATTCTAAAAATAGAGACACTGAGTTTCTTCTGCTGGTCTTGGTCCTGTGCTCTCTGGCTGAGCCAGCTTTGCAAATGTCCCTGGGGAGGGCAGGCGGTGGCAGGGGCACAGAGAATGGGTCCCAAACACCTACCAGCACTTGGCCTTGTATGTGCTACCCACCAGCCCTAGAGCAGTCTGATGATGCTTAGGAATACTTTTTGAACTAATGTTTTAGAAGCATAAAGTAAAATATGGGGGATTACACGGGAAACAACCATCAGAATATCAACAGTGTGATACGAGACCGTGTGTGCTTTCTTATGAACACATTGATAATAACATGCACTGTGTTTTTAAAATGACTATTACTGTAAATGACATTTAAGATACAAGATGTGAAGATACCTGATCTCTCCTGGTGACAAAATGACTTGGGCTGTGAATCCTACTGGGCTGTGCACGTTGCAACCCTACAGAGGACAGAAAGCCATGTGCACACCTGGGCCAAGCTCACATCTGGGCCTAGCAGGGGTTCCTACAACCAGGAGAGCTCCCTGGGCACGTACCAGGGGTTCTAATTAGTAGGGGAAGAGATGATTTTTAAAGATTTTGAACAAACATGATGATTAGAGAACCAAAGTTCTTACGTGGCGAGGGTGGCTAAATTTGGGAGGTGAAGGCTGGAGGCAGGCCCTGAGCCGACCCAGCTAGGGCTTGGACCAGGCTGTGCTCTGAGCCACTGTCTTGGCCAGCCTGGCTCTCTTCTACCACCTTACTGAGATGTAGCATGGATTCATGTGTCCGGAAGCCTCTAGGTCCAGAACATCTTGGTCACCCCAAGAAGTGACCTGTCCCAGTTCCCCTCTCCTTTTATCCCTGTGGACAGGCCATCCTGGATTTTTCACATACAACTGACCCTTGCCCTGCAAGGTTCTTAGCGAACATGGAGCTGTGGGTCCTGAGGAATGGCAGGTTGGTACCTGCAACCTCTGGGCACAGCACTGTTACCAACTCACCAATACATCACCTTGTTTTCTGTTTAAAGACACCTGGTTTAAGATGCACCGCAGCGTCACCAACGCAGAACTCAGGCAGCACAACTGATCTTAGCTTCTCCAGGCACACGACTTCCCCTTGAGGCGCAGAGCAGCCACCTGTGCTGAGGTGCTGGATGGTTCAGTCCTGTGCCTGGGCCTCCCTCAGCAGCAGGATCGTAAGGAGAAATGCAGGAATGTGGAAAGTGTGCTGTTGAATCAGCAGAGCGAGGTCTATAGCATGAGCAAATGAGGAGCAGAGACCCCTTGTCGGTCTCAGTTGGGAATGTGCAAATCGGCCACTTGAATTTCTTATCACTTTGTGCATGTGCTCACAGGACTACAAAACCACAGTGAGTATTGATTTGGGGCTACAAATAAATTTTAGCAAGCAGGTAAATTTGCAAATACAGAGGCCTGAGCAAGGATTGACAGTAGGAGCCGTCTCAAAGTAACCTACATCTGGTGCAGTGCCCTCAGCTGATTGGAAGTTTATTCATGATCACGTTCCATTGCATGCATACAGTCTGTCTGCCATTTACCATGATGGACACCAGGTTGTGTCCGCCCTTTGGCTGTTGTGAAATGAATGTGAGCACCATACTAGGGTCCTTGTGGGGTGGGTGTGGTCCTCATTCCACTGTTTGCTGGGCTTACACCTAGGTGGCCAGAGATGTCAGTCTGAAGTTATGTCTTTGTGTGGTTTGAGGGAAGAGATTAGTAAGTAGTGGTCTGATATTGTAAGCACGGCTGGGGGTTTATTTCAGTAGGTGTTAGGAGGATGCTGACTTTTCATTTGTGACTATAAACATATTTAATAAGATATATCGGTGTGGAAAGTGACAGCATGACACTCTGGTGTGGATGCTGTGTAGGACGGTGAACAGAAGCTGGCCTCTCACGGCTGATGCCCAGAAGGCTGTGAACTGTGAGCCCCAACCTCGGGGCTTCAGGACCCAACCACTTCAGTCACCAGTCTTCTGAGGGGCAGACCGGCAAGTCTGTCCTGACACGAGGTTGTCCTGATGCCAGGTGTCTGGCTGTCCCTGGATGTCCAATGCCTAGCTACTGCCCTGCCTGTCATCTCCAGTTAGAACCCACTGAGGAGAGAAGAAAGCTATGAACACCCCAGCAGGGACGAGGGGCCAGGAGACAACCCTAGGCCCATATTGCCTCAGCTTAGTGACCCAGCAGTGGTAGCCCTTGCTCAGGCCAACCTCTGCCCAGCTTCAACCCCACCCTGCAGCCAGGGGCAAAACGTAGGATGCACAATGAAGCCCATGTCCACAGCTGTCTTCCCAGGGCTTTCACACATGTCCCCTACCCCTGGTGAGCAAGACTGTGACCTGGGGCTGCTGGGGCACAGCCAGTAACAACCTCCATGGGCGTGGGGTCTGGTGAAGATGGACAGCACCCTGATAGCTATCAATAAGTAATCAGAGAAAGAGAGAGCAAACTAAGAGGGCAAAGCAGGTGGAGAGCCGTGTGAGCTGATCAGAGCAGATGGAGCGCAGCCTTCCTGAGAAGGCAAGAGAGCGTCCAGGTTCCTGAGAGATGTGAAGGGCAGAGAGTTCCAGGCAGGGGCAGTGGGGTGCAGGCACCCATCCCAGGATAGGCTGGGCAGGGGGTGGCCACCACCGAGAACAGAATAAGGGGATGCCAGAAGCTACATAGAGCCATTCAAGGAACACTGAGGGTCCTGCTCCCCAGCAGTAGCCCTGGCCGCTGTCAGGAAGGCAGGCCTATGTTGGCACCCCAAACCATCAGAAGGGCCTGCAGGCTCAGCCAAGACTGCAGATGCAGAGGCTTTGATCTCATGGCTGTGAGTCAGCCTGCTGTGAGGTCAGCGGTCTCCTGCTGTCCCCCCATTGCCATGAGTGGGAATAACAAGAAGAGCTAATATTTGCAGAGCACAGACTGTACGCTAGCACACTGCTCAGCGTGTTGTGACTGTACCATTGACAACTCATTTTGCAAACAAGAACACTAAGGTACCGGACACAGAGAGCCTCACCTGCAGATGCAAAGCCAGTGGCCAACTCCCACACCTGAGCACTCCCCTCCCACCCCCATGCAGCTTCCTCTGGTCTGTGCTCATGGAACCCTTTCTAAGTTCTCAGAGAGGCACCTACAAGCAAGTCTATAACTGCAGATGCAGAGCGCTGTAGTGCCACATTGCAAGGGTCCCAGGTCACTCTGCTCTGAGGCAGTCAGTGCTCACTGTGCACACAGAAGGTCTGTCCCAGGAGGGAGAACACCCTCTTCATGTCAACACAGGTCTACCCTGTCCATATAAGCTAAGTTAATCGCAAACATGCCATTTTCCCATTTTCAAGCTTTGCTTGCAGTTCATTCCTTCCTCCAGCAGGTTATTTTGAAATGACAAGGTTCTCCCAGGCTTCTTGAGGAAGAAACAGTCTAAACTGCACTGTGGGATGCGAGCCGCATGTGGTCCCAGACGAGCAGGCATCCGGCCTCCACCCCCTTCAAAGCTAGTCATTTATGTTCTCATCAAATGACATCGTTTCAGCGAGGCCTTCAGTGCTAAACATTAATCAATGTTATAAGTTAAAGCTAACATTTTGCTCCAATCCTGAAAGACATGGGGAACATACACTAGTGCCCTCAAATTTCATTTTTAAGCTACTGATGAATTCCACTTCATTACTGAATTTGCTTGCTTCCAGTTAAAATACTAAAAGTATCAATATTACTTTTTCCTCAGTGCTTAAAAGACAGAAATCAACACTATTTAAGGTGGAAAATACAGTCTAGCTATTGTTAAGTTGTTCTAATAAGTTAATGTTGACGAAAAAAGTTTGATTTCTTTAATCTCCTACAGGCTAGGAAATAGAATCTCATGATCCTACCATGGCAGACAAAACTCAAACCACAAGTTTTTAATAAGTGATGCTGACACATGGAGCAACTGGGCCTCCATACCTCGCTTCTGGATGAAGACCCTGAGCAGGGGGTTGGCGCTGGAGACGGCCTTGCAGAAGTTGTCATCGTTGTTGATGGGAAGCAGGTCGCCATGCACATCTGCATAGCCGATGGTCACCTCGGTGCTGGAGATGTGGTGGGTGTGCACCACCAGCTGGTAGAAATCTTCAAACTTGCCAGGCTTGTGGCGGTTCAAGGAGAATCTTCGGAATTCAGCCCCAAACTACAATGCAAGAGATGGGGGTGAACCAGAGGAAGGACAGTGTGTTCATGAGCAAGACTCCCGAGACTCCGCCAGGCCCCAGAGTCACAGTGTCAGCCAGGCCGTGGTCACATAACTGGCTGTGAGCAAACGAGAGACCACCAGGCAGCGAGGGGCATCAGGGAATGAAACAGCATGGAGGGAGGAGCTGTGCACCTGTTCACACCGAGCAGGTGCCCCACATCTCGAGGACAGGCCTGCAGGGTCCATTAGGCTCAGCTTGTCAGAAAAGCAAGGCCAAGTGCACACAGACCTAGAGAGTGAGACGCAGGAGTCCGTGCTGACTACAACCCCCCTCCTCAGGGGCACAGCGCCACAGCAGGACCAGGAGATTCAGAGGCAGAGAGAAAGTATCTTCCAGACATTTTTATAAGGGTGAGGTGAAGTCCTTATGGGTTTTAATCTTAAACTAGGGTGTCTTTATTTATTTATTTATTTTGTACTATGGATTGAACCCAGGGAGGCTTTACATGCCTAGTCCTATTTATTTTTAAAATAAATAGGTGTTGCTGGCTGTATCCCTTGTGTCTTGAAGGTGTGCATCTCCTGTGGGCAGAGGCACCTGCAGGGTCTAGCACCCTCCTGAGAATCAGTCCCCATTCCACCTCCTCCAGGTCATCTAAAGCAAAGCCAGCCTCTTCCTAACCTGCACTATCCCTGGAACTCAGCTGTGGGATAATGCAGCATGCTGGTTTGGGAGAAGCCACTTGCAATGACCAAAAGCCTAAGCCCCCTTCTACACAGTCAGCAGGGGAAAAACCGCACCCAAGAATGCAGTTTCTGGCCAGTTACAGCTCTGACGGCACCTGTGTCCTGGAAGTGGCAGAGGAAAGGCTGTCATAGAGGTGCAGAGAATCCCCCAGACTCCCTCTTCCATTACTCAAAGATAAGCATTGTATTTCTTCTCAGCACTTAATGCCAGGATGCACCACAGGTGGGTGTGCCCAGTGGATGCTGCAGGCCCCTCCGCACACCACACCAGGAGCGCCCTGGACCCTGCAGGCGCCTCTGCCCACAGGAGATGCACACCTTTAAGGCACAAGGGATACAACCAGCAACATGAGCTTTACATGATTCTTTCAGATTTGGTTGTCCTATCAAATCACAAAACATTTATTTCACTAGGGCAACCTCATGCCTAGTGTCTGGTATGGCCCATGTGCAACTCCCAGAGCAGTGTCCTCCTTGGTCAGCCAAACCTCTCTTCTCACTACACATGAGAGGATGCAATCATGGGTGCACCATTTCTGGCTTTCACACATGGTTCTCAGAGTGTCCCAACAGGATGCATGCAAGCACACCCCTTTCCATCGCCAGCACCCTCCCTGTGGCTCAGCGCTGAGGGCACCCTCAACACCCACCTACAGTGTTTTGATCTCAGCATAGTAACTAATCTAAGACACAGCTCAATTTATTCCTCAGTATTTTAATAATTTCCCTCTTGATATGTGTTCACGTTAATTTGGAAAGAAGAGTTAATTCAGGCCTTTCTTGAAGCAAAGCACGTCACTGACAATAACGCTGGTCTTGCCCTGCAGCAGCAAGTCTGCCTCCTGTTGTCAAGGTGCCCAGAGCATCAAACAGAGATGTGGAATGTGACATATGGAGCATTTTATTTAAAAATATCACTACCATGGGACACTAGCATTTAAATTTATTTTTTGTAGTTGTAGATGGACAGAATGCCTTTATTTTATTTTTTATGTAGTGCTAAGGATCAAATCCCGTGCCTCACACATGCTAAGCAAGTACTCTACTACTGAGCTACAGCCCTAGCCCAGGACACTAGTATTTTATTTCCTCAGTTATATCAGATTCAAACAGGGGCCTTCAAACGAAGGAATTAACAGGTGCAACCCACTGCCACATGGTGTCAGCACACTTACCCCAAACTGAAAAAGCACATGGACTTAATGAGCAAGCAATAAATCTTGCAAATCAAGTGGCTTCCCATTATTAGCTTTCAACAAAATTAAAAGTTGTCCTAGTTGAACTGTCAATCAATAGATCATCCAAACAATCTGAATGACAGACCACTCCATTATCACTTGTTTCTGGCACATGTCCTGGGGAGAGGTGGCTGGTGAGCCAAGAAGAAGCCTCTCCTCCCCTGCTTCCACCTTCCTCTGTGTAAGCATTTGATTGATTTGTTTGTGTAAACAAAGCTATGCATTGGCAACACAGCAAAGAAGCTGCAGATTGGCTCATGTAACATGAACATCCTTGTTATACAAAGGATTTTAAATATTCACTTTGGATACAAATAATATTTCAACAGATTTTGCAACTATATTGCAATCATGATTTGATAAGAACTGCAATGACTCAACCTGGATTTTTTTTTTTTTTTACTGTGATATAGATACTTTGCTACTTAGCTATTATTCAGTGCACAATTCTAGAATGTCAATTGCATGGCATCGGATCTCTAGAACTTTTGGTCTTGAGCATTAAAACTTCACAACAGTAGAAGTAACTGTAAAGCACAGAGCCTTACAGCCCCATCAGAGAACTTTTAACATCAACATTAAAAACAAATATTGTTTTTGCAGAGAAAAGCATATATTATTGTTTCAGATAATTAAGCATACATTTTTAAGGCAAAAAATAATAGAACAGAATCTCTTGGGAGAGTAATAGAAAGAAGGAATCAAGGAGAAAAAACTTTTTCACGTACAATTTCTGTTCATTGCAAAGAGCCTATCCATCCTATTTTAAAACATCTGCTGGTGGTATCAAATCACTACAGATTTCAGACGTCACTCACTATATTTAAAACATCACATGCTAAAAAGCTTTATTTTTAAGTGAAATATTTACAGCATGGTGGAAATTATATCCTTTGTACTATTTATATGTCAAAAAATTTAGACGCTAGCATTAAAGTATATTATCCCCTGTGGAGTTAGACTCTAGACACACCCTCTGCCACTGAGCGGCAACCACCTCTTGGTAGTTCTACAAAATTCCTTAGTGGGCTCACAATGTTGGAAGACCATGACCCAAACCACCATGAAGTCTGGTGGGAGCCTGGCCACTCCCTTGCGCTGGGAGTCTTGGTTTGAATGTTGGTTTACACGGGGGCTTCGACAAGGTACCACTCCAACCTCTTTGGCCCCACAACATGCTGCTAAGGGATGCCTACCCTGGGAGATGGTCTCCCTCTAAACCAGTAACTGGATCCAATCCCAAACCAGTACTTATTAAGAGAGGTTTTAGGTAAGCTTGCCTTGCTGTGCCTGGCTGGGTCAGCAGGCAAATCAGTAGACAAAGAATCAAAATGCTCACCCTCACCCCCAGTACCTGATTCAGGCTCCATCATTCAGGCCTAAAAGGATCCAGGGCTCCCAGGGCAAAACGGCTAACCCCAGGCAGAGGCGAGAAGTGAACGTGAGCCTGAAGCTCCTTCTCTAGGAAGCACGGGGTCCTCAGAGACATGGGGCTACCTCGAAAGACACGCAGTTCCTCCTTTCCTACAGCTTCCAGCCAAATGAAGCGTTGTTCCAGTATTATTTTAATAATTACACTTATCTATTTTGTAGCTGACCCCAACAATTATTCCTGAAATAGGATGATAAAAATGGGGGGTTCAGTTTTACAAATATGTGGAAATTAAACAACACACTCCTCCATAATATGTGGATTAAAGAAAGAATCAGGATAAATTTATAAAATAGAGATTAATTAAAATACACTATATCAAAACTTTGGATTGCAGCTAACACAGGGCTTATAGGCAAATTTATAGCTGTAAACACCTATATTAAAAAAGAAACATTTAAATCAGTAAGTTAAACTTCTGTCATTAGAAACGAGGAGGAAGGTAGATGGGGGTGGGGGGAGAGACAACCTAACCCACAGCAAGCAGAAAGCGGGAAATAATAAAGACCAGAACAGGGGCTGGGGGGTGGCTCCAGCAGTAGCGCTCGCCTGGCAGGCGTGCAGCCCGGGTTGGATCCTCAGCACCACATACCAACAAAGATGTTGTGTCCGCCGAAAACTAAAAAAATATAAATGAATATCTAAAAAAGTTCTCTCTCTCTCTAAAAAAAATAAATAAAAAATAAAGATCAGAACAGAAATAAATAGAATAAAAGCTAGAAAAGCTAGAGAAAATAACAAGCCAAAAGTTGGGTCTTTGAAAAGATCAACAAAATTAGCAAATCTTTAGGTAGTCAGACTAACAGAAAAAGAGAAAAGATTCAAACTACTAAAATCAGAAGTAACGGGAGGGGGCTGGGGCTGCATCTCAGTGGTAGAGCGCCTGCCTCGCATGTGTGAGGCACTGGGTTCCATCCTCAGCACCACATAAAAATAAATAAATAAAGATATTGTGTCCATCTACAACTAAAAAATATTAAAAAAAAAAAGAAGAAGAAGTAAGAGGAGGCAATACTATTGACCTAAAGGAACTGAGGACTCTACAGGCATTCCAGAAGCACCAATCGCACCTGGCGCCCAAGGAAGCGGGCTCGTAGGAGAAGGGTCTGATTCTGAGAGAAGGCACAGGAAACATGAGGCTGGATCACGCAGCACCAGAAAGCAAGGAAGTGCTGAAAACAACCATCCCCCCGCCAAACATGGAGCATGTCAAAGAAAACCAGAACCAACTGGCCAAAACAAAGTAGCTCTGAATTATAACTCAAAGTATAAAATAAATGTCCCTGAGTCTACAATGATATAAATAAGTGACTGAATAAATAAAAGAGGCAGGATAGACAGACCTCCCATGCAGAAAGGTATCAATAATTTATGTGGATATACACCACCTTCAAGGAGGGAGAACATTACCTCCCACCCCTGACATGTAGGCCCCCCACATAATAAGTTTGGTCCCAGGAGCACAGTGTAGAAAGGGGAAGAAAGAGTGACTTCAGAGTGGACCTGGCTGGAAAACATCCTCAGCCAGGGGGCCAAAGGCAAATCACATGACAGCTTGTATCCTCAGTAAGATGTGATGA